TGGCTGCCTCAGCACTCAGCGTGGTCCGTCAGCAGCCAGAACTCCCTTGCTGGAGAGGCCATCAGCCCAGTTCACAGGCTGACTGCCTTAGCAGTCAGTCCTGCTCTGGCACCAAAACCTAGGCAGTTCCCAGAGAGCCTCTTGTCAGTAGTCCGTGGTGTAAGCCTGGAGATGCGGGCTCTGAAATCGTTGAAGGAATTAGCAGCAGCAATGGAGTAAATCAAGCAGGAAAGCCAAGCAATCAAAAGTCGAGTCCCCTACCTTCTGCCACACCCTTCTTATCCAGACTCCCAGCAGAAGCTGCAGCCAGCCCTCATCGGCTAAGGCAACCAGAGCAGGTCTTCAGGGAATGCTCTCTATTTGGATGATTCTGATTGTTAGTAAATCCAGAGTTTTCTAGATTTCTAGAGTTTCTAGATTCCAGATTGATATTAAAATCCCAAAAGTGAGTCAGCTCTGAGACAAGAAGAGATGCCAAGGCTATGGCTATACCCAAACTCAGAAAGCACTTCAGAACCGAAGTGTCCAGATTTTAACTGCCTCACACCCAAGTGACTCCAGCAACTTGGTGACTGAAGAGAGTCTGGCCTCTTGGCTTGTGATTTCTCCACCTTTTTTTGTCTTCCTTCCTTCCTTTCTTTCTTCCTTTCTTTCCTTCTCCCTCCCTTCCTCCCTCCCTCCCTTCTTTCCTTTCTTCCTTTTTAAAAAAACATTGATTTTATCCCTCCAACTCTTCCCTCTCTCTTCCCTTCCCCTTCCCCAAACATTCTCTTCCTAATTTGATGTCCTTTTGAATTAGTGCTGGCTGCTGGGACGTTGAGTGATTTTGTCAACTTGGTTTTGTGCAGGTGGCCATAGTTGCAGTGAGTTCCTGGGCACGATGGCCTTGTCATACCCAGAAGACAGAGCTTCATGACACTCCTTCTCCTTCGCCATTAGTTTTCATCTTTAATGTTTCTTTATTCGCAACCACTTCTTCTTCTGCCAGTGTCAGGAGGAACTATGCCTTGGCTCTTACTTTATCCTCTTTATTGCGTGGTAAACCACAGGGAAACGAACACTGGCATTCATAGGCTATCAGCCAGGTGTAGTGGTGCATGCCTTTAATCCCAGCACGTGAGAGGCAGGTGGATCTCTGTGAGCTCAAGGATAGCCTGGTCTACATAGTGAGCTCCATGCCAGCCTACACAGTAAAATCCTGTCTCAAGAAAAAAAATATATTTTTTAAAAGCAAGTTTTTGTCAAAGAAACATTTCAAACCTTTGACTCAGTGCAAAAGGAATCATTCTGCTGATTTGTCATGGAGGGGCAGGTAAGGGGGTAACACTCACCCCCTTCGTCTAAGGCTCACACTCCTGGGACAAAAGGCGGCATGAAGAAAAAGGCACTGCCTGTTTATGCAATCAAGCTTTTACATGACACAGGAAACTCTGGAAATGAAAACCCACATGCCCAGAAACAGCTGTCCATTTTTCATGTTTTTATTTGGCGAAAAAATGGATGCTAACTACAGCTATTATTGGACAAGATGATTTATGGCCTCCTGGTGAAAGACTGGGCAGGAGAGCCAGCAAGGCTGGTCTGTTCAGATTCTTGTCTGTCTGTGATGCAGTCCATCCCCGTGGTCCTGGGCAGAACCCCTCCTAGAATGGAGGTTTTATGACCTACTACAAGGCAGGACAGGCTAAACCACTTCCTATTCAGGGTCAGCTCCTACACAAAAGGGCAGGGGAGGATTCAAACAAGGGTTATAGGTTTTATGGCTGTCTTCAATGGAAGGTGTAGGGTTCTATGACTTGCCTTAAGAAAGAATAATTTTTATTGGTGAATCTAGAGATATAACCTAGTGCCTTGAACAAGCTAGGCCATACAAGCTCTACTACTGAGCTACATCAACCTTAACCTTAATGTGTCACTTTCTGAATCTGAAAATCAACAAAGAAGTTTACAAGAGCAAGTCATTTAAAAATGGCAGATGCTGTCAGGCAGTGGTGGTGCACTTGGGAGGCAGAGGCAGGCAGATCTCAGTGAGTTCGAGGCCAGCCTGGTCTACAGAGTGAGTTCCAGGACAGGAACCAAAGCTACGCAGAGAAACCATGTCTCCAAACCCCCCCCCACCAAAAAAAAAAAAAGAAAAGAAAAGAAAAGAAGAGAAAGGAAAAGAAAAGAAAAGAAAAGAAAAGAAAAAATACATGCAGATGTTAGCATGGTCATGGTGACACATGCTTATGATTCCAGAATTTGAGATGTCAGTTCAAAAGGATCTTGAGTTCAAGGTCAAGAGTGCATGGGGAGTTCAAGGAAAACATGACCTACTTAATAGCAACACTCTGTCTGCAATGAAAATCAATCAATCAACCATCAGAACTCTATTTAGTTGAGCATCATGATGGTTAATGCTGTCAACTCCATGGGATTTAGTTAGGATGACCTTGGAAACAAACCTCCAGCATATCACTGAAGAAAGTTTCGATTGGGCCAATTGAGATAGGAAAATCCATCTTAAATGTGTGGGACACCATGCCATCCATGGTCCTAGACTAAATAAAAAGGAGAAATGGGGCGAGCACCAGCATTCATCTTTCTCTGCTTCCCGGCTTCAGACACGGGAGACCAGTTGGCTCATGCCTACCGCCATAGCTTCCCCACCATGACGGACTTACTCCAAATCATGAGCCAGAATAAGCCCGTCCTTCCTTAAGTTGCTTTTCCAGGCATTTTGTCACGGTAATGAGAAAAGTAACTTAACACGCTCCCACACTTTTACAATTGTGGCACCTTTACTGAAGCAGTAAAAATTTACTGTGTCTCAACTGATACATGAAATTTAGGAAGCTCAAATTGTTGCTGAAGTCCTGGCCTCTCACCACTTGAAGGTCAATGATTAGGAGATGAGAGCTATTAGGGAGGATCCCAGGGTTTACCCAAGGAGCAGTGCTTGGGGAGACAGGGGTAGGGGTGGAGGGTCTGTCATCCACAAAGCTCAATCTCAGGCCACTCATGGGGTACAAAGGGATTGCACGGGGAGGAAAAGCAAGAGTGGGCTAAGAAGGTTGTAACATTCAGGGAACATAGCTTTGTTTCCCTTCTCCAAAACATGAAGATATCTCAAAAGTCAGTGGCCTCTTAAGCCAAATTCCCTTTACTTTTTAGACAGCGTATTTCTTTTCAACCTCACAGACATCCACAGGCTGTGTCAGATGATGCACAGGACTAAGTAAAGAAAAGGCATTCGGCTCTAATACTTTTTAGATTCCAGACACTCTGGGTTCTGTAAAGCTAAAGAAAGGTGGTTTGTCAGTCAGCATCTTCGTTTTTGTTTGTTTGTTCATTTGTTTTAGACAGAGTTTCATATATTCAGGCTGGCCTGAATGCCTAATATCAGTCACTATCCCAGCCATTTAAAAGGCAGGGTTTCTCTTTAGAATTACTGGGCATCAAGAGGGAAGTGCTACGCATAACAGGGAATAGGGCACAGCAAGAAGGCAGAAGGCTTGTTGCCCACCTATCCCTGCCCAATGGGGAGATCCCACCAGCGAGAAAAGTGGCAAACATGTTCAGTTCTTGGTGACACAGATAGAGATGTCTGTTAGTTCATTGGGGTCTTCTGTATTTTAAACATTTATAGAAATTAGGATAAAAGTGAAATACACATATCTAAAGCAACCAAAACCCTCTTACCAAAGGGCTGCAAGTTGAAACTGTGAGGTAGCATATTATCATAGTTAGAGAGAAGAAACAGAAGAAAGGGCCACTAAAGGAACTTGGTTAATTTGTCTACATATAAATATACAAAGACTCAAAAAGTAGTAAGCAGAAAAAGAGCATAGGGGCCGGAGAGATGGCTCAGCAGTTTATAACATGCAGAGGACCAAGGTTCAATTCCCAGCACCATGCCAGGCAGCTCACAACCATCTGTAACTACACACACACACACACACACACACACACACACACACAAATAAATAAATAAATAAAAAGAAACAATAGTATAGAATAATGGTTATCATGCAATTTAATAAAAGTTTAAATGTAAAACTTGTCTACAAATTATTAAAATAGACTACAATGTTAACAAACTCATGGGGTAACTCTATAGATGACAAGGTTGGGGTGTAGTGGGGGCATCCTCCATAGATGATACAGACTTTTAATCTCAGCACTCAGGAGAAGCCAAACCTCAAGTCCAGACTGGGTTACATAAAAAATTCTAGGCCAGCTTGAACTGTGAAAAGAAAGGAAGGAAGAAAGAAAGAATGAAGGAAGGAAAGAAGGAAGGAAGGAAGGGAGGGAGGAAGGAAGGAAGGAAGGAAGGAAAGAAAAAAAAGACATGAAGCAAACAACATAAAAAGCTTGGTTCTGAACGACAGAAATCTAGCTAAACTTGGCCTGGGGACATAGCTCATCTAGAAGATGACAAAGTTGGCACCCAAAAAGTCATGGATTTAATTTCCAGCACCACATAAACTGGGCATGATACAAGCCTGTAATCCTAGCACTCTGCAGGTAGAGGCAAGGGAACTAGAAGTTCAAGATTCATAGTGATTCCAAAGCCAACCCTGGATACATGAAAACCATTCTTAAAAACAAACAAGAGAATCAATAGCAGAAGAAAAAGAAATAAAGATTATTTCCTATTTATTCTTTGTGTTTGAGAATAAGCATTTTAGAAACTAAAAGTTTTCCAGATATATTGTTTTGCTGTCTTTATAAAGCTGAGTGAATTCTAAGCAACCAGACTTGACATTTTTAAGTATTCTCTTCAAAGAACTCTTCGAGCTTTAAACATATTTGGCAACTCTGGTTACCTGTGTTACTCCTCATATGACACAACAGGATGAAAAAAATTGGCACAGATAGTAGGGAGGAACCCATACTAACCAGGCCTGAATTCTGGGCACACCCACTTGTTCACTCCCCCCCACCTCATCGTTGCCCCCCAACCCCACCCCCAGCTCCACTCAGCATTTCCTCTAAGGGAGGCCAGAAGACTTGCCTGAGGCCACACTCATTTCCCAGGCCCTCCGCTGGTGTGGAAGTGAACACCTTTTATAGGAGGAGTTTACCAACTCCTCTTAAACCCCCGAGCCTCTGTGCTCCAGACCATTTCCTCTCAGCCTCCTGCCCAGCCAAGAACAGCTCAGAATGATCCCAGGAGGCTTGACAGAGGCCAAACCGGCCACGCCAGAAGTCCAGGAGATCGTTGATAAGGTGAGTCGGGGCATTTTCAGGAAAAAGTTTGATCCCAAATCAAACCTTCATCATTGGGTTCATAACCTGTCCTTGTGTTAAAGAGTGAGGGAAGTCACAGAAACCAGAACTGTGTGCGTTTTATTCAGACTTTGGTGCAGCTAAAGGTGGAACATTCAGCCTTTTCAGAGAAATGTTAATATTCCCCAAGTAAAAGTGGCCAGGTCACACTATTTACCGCAGCCTCAGTTTCCCCACTTGCTGAAGGGGAATTTGTAAAATGGTCTCTAAACCCTTTACTCACAAGTGTGTGATCCCAGGAGCTCGAATGCGCTTGTTCATGGAGTTTTCCAGTCTCACTAACTGAAGCCAATCTGTGTGAGCACCTAAGGCTGCTAAAGATTCCTGAGGTTATTCCCAGGATGCTGTGCGCACCACACCAGCACAGTCAAAATAGAACTCAATGTTTATAGGAGGTTAATACGTCTTGCTTAAATATCATCTATATAAAAAATGTGTTGCGTGATTTATAAAATAGAAGTACATGCAAACTCTGGGTGTAGGTTTGCAATCTGTCGCCACCGTCTCTTCTTGCATCATTTTTTTTTTTTTCTCCTTGAAGCATCATCCCAGCGGACAAGATCAGTTTGTTGTTTGTTTGCCTGTTTGAGACTTGGTCTTGCTGTATCCTGGTTGGCTTAGGTCTTAATAACCCAGGCTGGCCTCAAACTCAGCACTTCTGCCTCAGCTTCCTAAGTGCTAGGATGACAGGCATGCATTACCATGCTGGGCATCATTGGCTTTTATGTGAGCAGAAGAGATGGGAGCCTTCATGTTTAGGGCACTGCACATTTTAGAGGAGGTCACCAGCCTAAAATTCAGGGGTTAAATATTTAAGGTTCTTACCCATAGGTTTATTTCAGTAAAAACCTTAGAGCATTTTTATTTTTGAAGAAGACAATGCTAAATCTTTGCACCTTTGTTAGAATCCTCGCATGCAGTCGGCGTTCTCAAACTTGAATGTGCACGTGAGTCACTTGTGGCTCTCGACAGAATGCAGATCTGACTGGAGAGGGCTGGACGGGCCTGCATGTCCACATTTCTGCCAGGCTCTCAGGAGCCGCGGTTACTCCTACCTACCACTTCACTTTCCGGTAGGACCAGATATCTGATGTCCTAGGAGGCTGGTGAGAGATGAGACTTTAAAATAGGGTACCAAGGAAAGGCCCTCCATTTCGTTTGTAGGAAGGAAGAGATAAGAGGACTAATTAAAATAATGCGCACAAAATTTGTTTTATGAACAAATATCACCAATGAGGCATCGTTGCTGTTTATGTCGCCTGAAAAAAATCCCCTAACCTGAAAAATTCCCCTGACATGTACCAGGAACCAGAGCTCCAGGGGAGAGCTAGGGAAATACAATTACTTTAAATCTAGACAACACAGCAGATTTTAATGGTCCTTTGATATCTGATCACCTGGTTAACTGGAACAATTGTTCTATTTTGGAATGGGGGCGTGTGTCTTGCTGTTTCTCAGTGTGGTCTCAGTTTCGTAGGTTCAAGTGATCCTCCTGCTTCTCATCTCCCAAGTACTTGGAACTAGAGGATTGTGTCATCTGCTTGGCTAGAGTAGCTTTTAAGTATAATAATTTTACTAGTTCTTTGAGAATTTCATATATATACACATTGTATTTTGATCATTTTCAAAGTTAGGAAGCTACTGGAAGGGCTTACCTTGCTACTGACACCATCTGTGGACCGCATCTTCGGCGATAAAAATCAATTTAGAAATATGTTCATGCAGTTTCAGAGAAGCAAAATGAGAAATAGATTTTAACAAGGCCACCTCACTTCAGGAAGAAGTCGTAAAAGCCTTGACTTCCATTCTTCTTCCCATTTGATCTTCAAAGCCGTAGGGCAGGAAAGGCATTACATCCCATTTTTAGATGATGAAACTGAGAGTCACCCCGTTAAGAAAAGAATCTGCCCTTTCCACTGCACGGCCTCCACAACACTGGGAAGCTTTCGCGGGTGTGAGGGGAGAGAATGCAGCAGACTTGCCTTCTCCATGCAAGCTGTGGCCTCAGGTTTAAACCACAATGCAGGCTGCCTAGACATGAACCATTTCATGGTAGGGGCACTTCCTGTGTTTCTCTTAGGTGTCTAGAAACAGACCACAGTCTGTAGAAGCTGCAGAAAAGGCTAGAAGGCATGGCCGCAACTCCTGAAAAATTAACAGTATAGAGGAAGTCAAGCTATCTAGGGTATGTTATAAAACAAAACTTAATTAAGTGCTCTTTCATAACCATAGGTTTAAGACTAAAAAAGACATTAGCCATGACTGTCAAGCCCTTTACTGACAGGTGAACAAGTATAGTGTAGTGTGGCTCAGCTCCCAGAACCACTCATCTGTCCTCTCTTGCAGGAGACAGCCTTAGGGAACAATCCCCTCCCCCCATGTGTTGGGAGGTGGAGAAGCAGGCAGTCAACTGTGTATTTTAGGAAGCATATTCTCAGTTATATCAGTCATTCCCCCTCCAAAAAACCCATGAGGCAGATACTACTGAAGTCCTTGTTAAGTCAGGAAATGAATCCATACCTCCAAGATTATGGTTGGCTGAAACCCCACACAGTGTCAGGCCAGGGGAGTTAGCACATCTCTAGAATGATTTTTAGGGGTCCCAGAGACAATCTCCACAATCTGTTGTTTACACTGTACTTTTATTTTAAAATATATTTTTCTTACTTTTAAAAATCCACTGTTAAATGTTCTTAGGAGAGGCAACTCTTGGCTGCCTCTGCCCTTTGCAGAGAACTTGGTAATGGAGGAACAATGGAAGACCCCAGGAAGGAGGAAGGAAAGGAGGGAAGAGGAAAGGTTGTCCACAGAGAAGGGAAAGAGCCATGGAGAAGGGGCACCTGCATGCCCCAGGAACTGAACATCAGTCCCACAGAAAGGCAGGCAGGGGCTTTGGGATCGAGAGGATGTGAGGATTTTCAGGGCAGACAAGGATTCCTAAAGTTTGTCACTCAGAAAACATTGATTATCAGGTGGCAAGATGGCTCATTGACTCATTCCATATGATGGAGTGCATCAACTCCCAACTCCCAAAGGTGGTCCTCTGATGTCCACATGAATGCCACAACACACACACACACACAACTGTCCACGTGATTTTCTTAAATGTTCGTTATTGCCTGGTGATAGTGGTGCACACCTTTATTCCCAGCACTCAGCAGGCAGAGGCAGGCGGATCTCTGTAAGTTTGAGCCATCCTGGTCTACAGAGTGAGTTCCAGGACAGCCAGGGCTATATAGAAAGAAAAAAAAAGATTGTTATACAATCAAAGAAAAAGACATATACATCCCATCCATGAAAAATCATAACATGTGTAATGAAGACCAAATAAACAGATTGCTCCAACAGCAAGTCCAAATTGCGGTTGGTGATCTTTTATTGTCTGTGTAGGTAGCCACTGGAAGAGAATTCCTGGTATGTTTATCTGAGCGAGAGAAATGTTATCTTAAGGATTATTTTTAGAAGCAAAGGCTATGATCACACATGCAAATGCAGGTCACACTGCACATGCTCATCTTCATGTCGGAAACCCGGTTGCTGAACACCATTCCTGGCGAGCACACTTAGCGTGAGTTTTGTTAGCTGGGACATCACACAGACGTCTCATCGGCACAACAGGGCACACCCTGGGCTTGAGCACATCATGGCTCCTGTTGCCGTCGTCTACAGAGTCTCTCCAACCTAAGCCTCCCAGTCAGCCACTTCTGGTGTCCCATCCTCGGAGAACCTGGCATTCAGCCACACCATCATCCTCACGGCGCCCACCTCCCCTCTCTATCAGAACGGGTATCTTCATGTACTCCTCCACTCCGATTCCCGTGATCCTGTGAGCTGTGACGTTCCAATCTTCAATTAGAGGTCACTCCCATGGCCCTCGCTTCCTCCTCCTCCACTTCTGTTCCAGGAAGTCACAGGACCACAGGAAGCTCACCATTCCAGTGTGATGAATGAATGTCCATGTCATGGCAGGACCCTGGGGACAGCAGAGAGTCCTTTCGGTTTTATTTGTTGCCGTTTTCCTAGAAACCTACACCTTCTCCCCCACCATGTCACCCTTGTCCTATGCCCCCCACCCCATCCTCCCAAGGGTTCCCCAGCAGGTTTCTCAGTTCTTATTCTGCTTGGAAAATTGCTGGCCTCTGGCGAGGACATACCCCGTTTATCATATTGCTTCAGGTCCATCTTCCCTTCCAGTCTCACACTGCCTTTCCCTCCAGTTAGTGTCTAAGGACTTCATTTTCTTGCGTCCGGCACACTTTTCTTTATACTTCCTCCAAGACTTATCAGATGACAAATGTCCACGAGACCTGTCCCACTAGCTTTACCATATTTTCACACTGCTCCCTAAATCCCATTTTCATACGGTGAAATCCTCTTAAATACTGCCTATCTACCTTGTAGCCATGTCTTCTAGTCATTCCCCTCTAAAGAAGGAAGGTAGATTGGGGAAAGGCATTAAGGTGGGATGTCCCATGGCTCAAATCTTCAGGTCCTAGAAAAGGAACAGCCCAACTCAGCAAGATCTGCAGCAGTTGGAAAAGCCGGAACAACTCTGGAACTGTGTTTCCTGGGTGCCCCGTCCTCTGATGGAGGACAGAGTGACAAACACATAGTTTCCAGCCATCATCAGGAACTGTGGGCTGTGAAAGGAGACCGGCTCCTGTCTGTCACACCAGGCTCCACAAGCACATTCCCAGCTGGCTCTGGTTTCTGGTACCCTTCCCCCATTCCGGAAGTTCCCTCAATGCCAAACTACTTTCTGAATCTTGAACGTTCTCTAGCAATCTCCCCACTGGCATCTTCCCCTACTTCCCAGCTCCCAATCAGCATCCAGGCCCATAGCAGCCCACATTAAAGAATGCAAATCCATGCTGCTACAAAGGGCAAGGAGGCTGCACCTTCCACAGTGGACCAGAGGTGGGGCAGCTTGTAAGGAAACAAGTTGGAGCATTTGGAATCAGTTCTCTCATGGAAAGTTCTGGGCCTGTGATTGACATAAGAACAATGAAGAAAATGCAATTTGGATCCGTTAATAGGAGAGATAGAAATAAGTCATGGGACCATTGAATGTTCTGTCTCACAAGGCAACACAGTTTTGTAGGTGTGATTAGGCAGAAACAGTAAGATGATGTGTCCAAAGTACTCATAGGATCTTTATAAAAACCACATAAAAATCCTATATTCTGATTTGTAAGTCTATTTTTTTAGATGAGGAAATCTAAAGCTATTATTATGTGTGTATTAGAACTGATTAAATAAGAAAAAAGATGGTGAATGTAAGCCAGGCTTCATCCTCAGTAATTGAGAGAAGAGTTACTGCCAAGGGGAAGTGTGCCACACACCTTTAGTTCCAGCACTTGGGAGGCAGAGGCAGGTGGATCTCTGAGTTTGAGGCCAGCCTGGTCTACAGAGCAAGCTCCAGAACAGTTGTCATTATTTCTTAAGCAATATAGAGTAACTATTTACTAGGTGTTTCATTGTATTAGTTGGTCTAAGTAGTTCAGAGAAGAGTTAAAGCATGTGAGAAGATGCGCGTTTAAATTCCGTGATAATTTAACATAAGAAATCTGAGCGTCTTGGTATCTACAGGGGATCCTAGAACCAATCCCCTACAGATACTAAGGGACAACTGTAGCTGTCATATACAACTGTATGTACACACAAAGAAGAGTCTGGTGAGTGTTCTGATGCCACACAGGGAGGAAGGACTCATAAAAGGATGGAGCCACACTGAAAGGACACCAAGTTGGGGAACTCTCAACAGACAAGTGAAGGACAATAGTAGAGAGGGAACAGGTCTTCCTGACAATAAAATTCTAATTAACAAACACATAAGGAATGGGAGAAAAATTTCTAAATTGTTATTTGGCAAAAGCATGTTGTTAAGAAGCATGTCAAAGCTAAGGGATGAAGGCCTGATGAGAAATAGTCTCCTCTGTGATGAGAAAATACTGCGTGGTCCAAGAACGCCTCCCCCTAGGATTCATCAAAGAGGGATAGGACAGTAACTTGCAGTAGTGAGACCTGCCAGACAGCCTGCCCAAGAGATAGTGTCTCCATCCACAACTAAGGAAAACCGTGGGTCCTGATACAATGCACTAAGGACCCACTGATTTGTGCTGTAAAGAATGGAGAATGCAAACATAAGAGAGGTCAGACCAACCAAAGTCAAGGGACACTACAAATGAACATTCTAGAGTCATGGTTGGAATGACAAAGAAAGACCTGGAAGCTAACCCCACTGAAAGGCTAGGGAGAACTGATGTCCAGCTCTGTGCAGGATCCTGGAGGAGAGGGGACAACTGAGAGACAGCTGGAAACATTTATAGACTCCTTTATGACAATATTCCACTGTAATGTTCTGGTCTGGAAGATTCTAGAATGAGTATTGGTGTGTGAGATGGAAATGCTAGGGGAAATCTAAAATCTAAGTCAATTTATCTTGTTATTTTATCGTCTGCCTAAATCAATTCATGAGTTTCATCAATTGTGCAATCAGTTTAAAACAATTAGTAGTAATTGTTGCTGTCCTGTTTTTAATTACTAAACAAATATAGATGCAACTATTAGAGCTCTTCATTCCAAATTGTGACTATATTGGTTTCTGCTTTGCTTTTATTTTTCCATGTGTGTGTGTGTGTGTGTGTGTGTGTGCGCGTGCACATGCGTGTGTGTATGTGTGTGTGTGTGTGTGTATGTGTGAATGTAGATCATCGCAGGACAACTTTCAGGAGTTCATTCTCTCCTTCCGCAATGTGAGTCCCAGGGATGGAATCCAGGTTGTCACGCTTTCATGGTGACAAGTGACTTTACTCTGTTGAGCTATTTGGAGGCCCTAAATTGTGACTATTTTGTAAGATCACACTGATTTGATACTAATTCAACCGCATGCAGTATAATTTAACTTTTAACTTGTATCACGTTCTTAAAGTGTTTTCTATGAGAGAAAAAAAGATTGCATTTATCTTTTTTAGTTTAGTTTATCATTTTATTTTGAATTTTGAGGTTGGGTCTCAACTGTAGCCCCAAGTAGCCTGGAACTTTCTATATAGCCTAAGCTCCTCTTGAACAGGATATTCCTGCCTCAGTCTTCCAAATTCTGGGATTTTAGGCTTGAGCCGCCATACCAGGCTTCATCAGCATCTCTGAGAACTCTCAGTACATTGAGGTTCCCAGATTTGTAGCTCACATAAGTAGAGTGAACCCAGCTCTAACATCATTTCTTTTTTTTCTCTTCATAAGATCAGAGAAAAGCTAGAAGAGAAAACCAACGAGAAATATGAAAAATTTGAAGCCGTCGAATATAAAACTCAAGTCGTCGCTGGAGTCAATTATTTCATTAAGGTTAGACTCCAACCTCAGTTATCACCCATGTGATGTTTCCTGCTGCCCCGGCTGTACCTTCATTTCTAACAGTTCTCTTTAGTTAAGGCGCAAGCGTGACACTTGCAGATAGAAGATTCCAGAAGGATATTTACCTTGCTTTTCCTCATAGACATAGGAAGCTTACTTATATGGCTCTTAATTTCTAGAACCTGTACAGGAAAAGAGGCAGTAACAGTCCGGGGCATGGTTTTCTTTTCTTTTTTTTAATATTTATTTTTTGTTTATTGTGCATACAGTATTCTGTCTGCAGGCCAGAAGAGGACACCAGGCTTCATTACAGATGGTTGTGAGCCACCATGTGGTTGCTGGGAATTGAACTCAGGACCTTTGGAAGAGCAGGCAATGTTCTTAACCGCTGAGCCATCTCTCCAGCCCCGGGGCATGGTTTTCGACCATGGCTGTTTCTTCTGTCAGGCAGATGTGGAGGATAACGTCTTAGGATGTGGGCATTATCCAAACAGTGTCTTAGAGCCTTTCCCACCTCCAAACTCCTAATTCTATATGTGTCCAAATTAAATGCACTTTAAAAAGGACTTTAATCATTATCTGGAAGAATAATTCAGGTCACTTTCATCCTTTAAATAAGTAGTTATTAATATGATTTAAATAATTCTTTTTACAACTCAAGAAGGTCCAACCTGTGGCACTTTTAGAGTATTAAAAATAATTTTAGGAGCTGGAGAAGTGATCCAGCTGCCAAGAGTGTGTGCTGCTCTTGCAGAGGCCACGGGCTGTGTCCAGCGCCCACATCAGAAGGCTCACAGCCTCCTGCACCTCCAGCTCTAGGAGATCTGATTGCTCGAGTCTCTGAGGGCACCTCTTCCTAGATGCCATACACAGACACACAAAATTTTTTAAAATGAAAACAAATTTTATAGCCCGTCATATCAAAAAATTAAATTAAACGGTGTCCTGATTGAGTTCTAAAGGAAAAAAATACTTTGACTCTCTTGTGATATCAAGGGAACCAATGAAAAAACTCATCACAAAACTGAGTCTATTTTAATAATTCTGATTATCCAAATAAATACACTGCATATTAATTCCCTTACACACTTCTTTAAGAAGCTCATTAGAAAATTATCTTGAAAATTTCTCCTCTTGAATACCCTATTGCAGTGTGTTCACTCTCTCTCATTCTCCCCCATTCGTTCCTTCCTCGCCCCCTCCCCCCCCCCTCCCCCCCCCTTCCTCTGCCCTCTCCCCCTCTACTCTTCCACTGGGCCTTAGTTCCCTCCTTCCTTCAAGCAGGCGCACTGTTACTGTTGTGCGGTTCTCAGCCACTCTCTAGATTTTCTGTCTTGAGTCCCTACTGAGAGAGTTGTACAGTGAAGGACTATAGGCTTTGTTGTTAGGGTTGTCCCAGGTTTGACCTTTGTTCTACTACTTGTTCACACTTGTTTAAAATCTGTGCAATGCCGGGAGGTGGTGGCACACGCCTTTAATCCACCACTCAGGAGGCAGAGGCAGGCAGATCTCTGTGAGTTTGAGACCAGCCTGGTCTACAAGAGCTAGTTCCAGGACAGGCTCCAAAGCTACAGAGAAACCCTGTCTAGAAAAACCAAAATAAATAAATAAATAAAATCTATGTGATACCAACATACCCTCCCCTGAGTCTGACCCCCTACCCTGAACGGTGGGAACAAGAACCCGTGGTGCTCTTAGGATGTGCCTGGTGCCATTCTATAAGCAGGCCGTGCCCGTCTTCACCTAATCCTCATGAAAAAGCCACGAAACAAAAATAAACCACTTCTACCAATCAGTTAGTTGGCACAAATCAGAAAACTGATCCCTGGAAAGGTAAATGACCATTAGAAGTTCACACTACTGTAAGCACAGAGCCTGGACTTCCAGCCGGAGCACTGGCTTGGGTAATGTCGCAATGTTTGCAAAGATTGATGCCCTTTGCCAAGGAGGAAACAAATACTTTTTTTAAAAAAAAGTAACACTGTCCAGTGAGAAGAATACAATGCTGAGCATGGGGTACACCTGTAACCCAGTACTCAGGAGACAAGGCAGACCGATTCCACAGTTCGAGGCTAGCCTGGGCTACATAGAGAGAGTCTTCCTCAAAACAAAATTAATCAACAAGAGAAGGAAAATGATGCGGATGTTGGAGTCTAAGATCTAGGTTGAAATTCAAGCTCTGCCATTAGTTTTTGTTGTTTGTTGTTTTGGTTTGGTTTGGTTGTTTTGACACAACGTCTCATGTGTCTCTAGCTGTCAGAACTCAAACTTCGTATATAATATAAAATGACCTTGAATTTCTGCTCCTCTTGCCTCTACCTCCCGATGCTGGGATTATAGTAGGCACACATCTCTGGGTTTATGAGATGCTGGTTGACCAAACCCAAGGCTTCGTACTAGATGGACACTGGGCTAACCAAGCTGCATCCCCAGCTGTAGGAAGTTCATCTCTTTAGTCTGTTGCTGGTATCTTTAAAACTGATACTGCTACACCTTTTTTCAGACCTACAGTAGGCAGTGTGATCAAACACACACACACACACACACACACACACACACACACACACACACACACACGTTTTGGTAAACTTGGACAAAAGGCATTTTAAGACAGGGTTTTTCTGTGTAGCTTTGGAGCCTGTCCTGTCCTAGAATTTGCTCTGTAAGCCAGGTTGGCTTCAAACCCAGAGATCCTCCTGCCTCTGCCTCCCGAGTGCTGGGATTAAAGGCATGCGTCACCACTGCCCAGTGCACCTAAGCTTCTTAATTTTACTTTACAAAGGAGGTGGGCAGGCCACCCACCCCGCTCAGTTCTCAAATGCCTGGTGGGCATTCACAAAGTAGGTTCCAATACGCCTTGGGTACGGGGACCATACAGTCCACATTTTCTAAAGCGATTCCGAGGTTTTTCTCCTTTATCGAGCTATATGGCAATTTCTCTCCCAAGTTAGAAATCAGAAAACAGAATCACCAAAAATACAGGCTGCCCTCTGCTTCTGTTTCACACATCATGAAAATCAAATGTAGTTCTGGAATGTAGTTTGTACCCAGGTTATAATGAAAAGCACAATAAATTAAATGCAGATGGAGCTCTACAGATGGCAAGAGCATTGGTTGTTCTTGCATAGGACCTAGATGTGGGTTCCAGCACACATGAAAACTCACCACATCTCTAACTCCAGTTTGAGGGGAGGTAGCATCCTCTGCCGGCCTCTCCAAGCATCACACACACGGTGCGCTTAAATACAAGCAGGCAAATTGTTCATACAGATTAAATAAATAAAATATTTTTCTAAAAAGTATTAAAAACAAGTCTAGGAAACATACTTCCTGCCATACTGTTAGTTGCTCTTTCTCCACACATAAAGTCTGGTGGGAGCTCAGTTCACAGATGCCACTTTGGACGGAAGTGTCATTTCAGGATGGCTTACCACACCATCTTTACAAGACAGCTGATCTGTCATACAGTGTAGACCAATGTGAATAATCTCCCCCTCATGTCTTTCAGGTGGATGTTGGCAATGGTAACTACTTACACGTGAAAGTCTTTCAAGGTCTTCAAGGACAAGATGATTTGGAGCTTAGTGATTACCAGACTAACAAAACCAAGGATGATGAAATCACCTACTTCTAAAGAGACCTGATTCTCCCACTATAGAGATGACTGTTTTCTTCCACTATTATTCATTTATAGTACTGAACTTTGCTTTCTTGACAATGTTTTAAAATGTGGAACGCTACATGATTTTACGTGCCACCCTTGGGCAAGGCTCATGCTAATCTGAATTATCCCGATTTTAGTACATGTGCTACCAAAGACAGCACAGTGTTGTTGACTTAGAGCAGAAATTCCACGGTAAACGGTGCCAACTGGAAACCTTATAAAAACTAATAAGACTCAGCTGCAATTGGGTAAAGGTTTAGTACTGCCTCATCCTCACTGCAAGTGGGTTAGGTCAGTGGCTGCCAGGGATGTTCCCTGTGGTTGCCCAGAACCCAGCATGCCATCTCTGCTTCCATATTTGAAAAATAAAGACGTATTTTACAAGACATATTTTGAAAGCTGCAACTGGAACTCAATATGCAGACCAGGCTGGCCCAGAGATCCACCTGCCTCTGCCTCCCGAGTGTTAGAATTAAAGGCGTGTGCTGCCGCCACTCAGCCTGATATTTGAATTTTGACAGATATAACATTAGTGTTATAGATATCTTTGGGTCGAATGATCATTTTAACAACATTAGTGCTTCCAGTGCATGGCCAAAACATCTTATTTTTACTGTGTATCTCCTTTGATTCGTGTTTTAGGATTTCGGGCAGCCTTACCTTCTTAATCAAATTTATTCCTAAAGGCTTGGTGAGGGTGGGAAGTTGTTACAGTGAGATTTTTCTTTTTATTAGTCTTTCAGACAGGCTATTGTTAGTGTTGGAAAACACTGCTGGTGGGGGTTTTGTTGTTTTTTTGTTTTTGTTTTTGTTTTTTTTTACTTAGGGTCTCACTACGAAGCCAGTGGATAGCTTGCTTGGAATGCACTGTGTAGACCAGGCTAGTCTGATGTAACTCAGGTCTAAGGCCATCAGAACTGGGCATTTCCTTCAGGGCAGGCTTTTTATTACTTCTTTATTCACCTGTGCAGATTTCCTGTTTCTTCATCCTTCAATGTCAGTAGGGGGACCATGTCTGGAAATTCCTAGGTTCTTTCTGGGACATACAATTGTTCCGAATGATGTTCTACAGTTCCCGGTATTTCTGTGGTAGCTGTCATATTGCCTCTACTTTGGTTAGTGAACTCATTTCCTGGAATCCCCAGTTTTTGTGTTCAGTTTAGACCAAGAGTGATCAACTCTTCAATCTTTTCAAACACTGACTATGTTTTGCTTGTTTTCGGATTCCCGTCTGCTTCTGCTCTGGTTTCTATTCTCCTCTTCGTCTGTTGACCCTGGCTCGGCCACAGCACCTGGCAGTTCATTCGTGATCTTTTGATTGCAAGCACTAAACGTGATCGCCTTTGCTCTAAAGGTGGCGTGTGCTGCATTCTACAAGTCTTGTTGTGTCCTTTCCAGTTTCTGTTGCCTTCATTTTAGGTTTTTTTTAAAAGCTATTCATTGATTCATTGGTTGTTCTGGCACATGTTGCCTAATTGTCCTGTGTTTGTGAGTCTCCAAAGTTCTTCCTGCCAGTGATTTCTACTGTCACAATGTTGTGATGTAAAATAAATAAATAAATAAATAAAAAGGCATTTGCATGGTATTAGTCTTCTTCAATTGCTCGACTTGTCTTGGTCCGGCACAGGATGTGCTGGATAAAGCTCTGTGTATTCTGTTTTGGGTCCATTTGGTCAAAGTGTGAAGTCCAGAGTTCTTTTGTTGATTTTGTCTGGATAACCTATCCGATATTGAAAATGGTATTTGAAAGTCCCTTACTATTGTGGTATTTCTTTTGTTGGTGTTGCTGTTTTGAGACAGGATCCCGTTACAGCCTCTGCTGGCCTGGAACTCATGGTCATCCTGCCTCTGTGTCCTGGGTGCTGGTCAGGCGTGTGCCACCAGCCCCAGCTCCCAACCACTACTGTGTCTTAATCCGTCAACTTCCTGCAAATCTTTAGCATTTGCTCCATATGCTGAAGTGTCTCGCTGGTGCGGTGTAGCTACGGCATCCTCTTGACAAACGGATCCTTTTGACTTTTGGGGACTCTCTGCCATTTTAAATTTCAAATCTCTTTGTCTGATCATGTCTTTGCACCACTACTCAGTTTTCCTTTTTGTGGACTATCTTCTGTCTTTTCATCTCGTCTGTACGTGCCGTTAAAACTTAAACAGCTACTACAATATATATTACTGATCCATTTATTCACTGGAGAGTGCAATCCATTTACATTCAAAATAATTACTGGATAAAGACTTACATTGCTATTTTGCTGTTTCCTGATAGTTTTGTAGATATGCTGAGTCTACAAAGAAGGCGGGGGCAATGAGAACAGGACAGTAAGCTGTTCCATGTCAGCTTCTACTTCCGAGCTTTGATTGCTCCCCGGACTCCAAGGGAATCTGGGCACCCAGTAATCAGAGCAAGGGTCCTATAGATAAAGAGGAAAACGTAGTGTGGGACTAGCAGTATCCCATACATTCTGAGAACTGGGAACGAGCATGGGCTTCACAAACTGAAGAGGGAAGCCAGCAAGTTGAGAGCCTGGCAAAGACCCTGATGGATGTGCTATTGTGGAAACACACAAAAGGGACACCTAACTTGAGAGGTCGCTGTGGCTGAAGGGAGTGATGGCTGAGACGAGAGCCAGGGGACAGAGCAAGCTCAAAAATTTGAAGGTGACTCTGGGTCTTGGCTAGGAGCGGAAGGTAAATGCAGAGGGGTGGTGGAGGGGGGTGAGGGCACTCAGAGACCACCTTAAGGAATTTGCAGTTATCATTAAAGTAGTGAGAAGTCATCGAGGGGCTTTACATGGGACAGCCTTTGCTTGTTGGAGTGGAAATAATTCATTCGGTAGCAATTATTTCTGAGTGCCAGTGAACTAGCCACCCTGATCTCGATAGTGCATCATGAGACAGTCACCCAGGCCTGCCCTCAGCTGGCTGGTGCCTCTGGGAGCTGGCTGCTTAATCCCGCCCCCTCAACTACGTGAAAATTCTTAGAAAATGTTGAAGGAAAAATAAGAGGAGAATTTTCCTATATTCTAACGAACTTTATTTCTACCTAGCTGTACATAACTATAAACTGCTATAACAATGAATCTGATAAAAAAAAAAGCAGATAACATAGTTAGACCAATAAACTAGGGAATGTAAAAGTGATAAATCCTAAAACCGTACTAATTAAAGCCTCTGGGGCTAGAAAGATGACCGGCTGAAAGTGCCTGCTGTACAAGAAGAAAACCTGCTTGATCTGCAGCTGAGGGTGTGTAGGCAGGACCCCGGGGCTCGCTGGCAGCCAGTCTAGCTCCAGGTTCAGTGAGGGAGAGAAAGGAAAGAAGACACTAGATGTCAACCTCCGGTCTCCACACATCCAGGCAATGAACACATAGAAACACACACAAAACAAAACCTTAAATGTTATCTTGAGGGCACCACAGTACTTATTCCTGAAAGGCACACATGGGCTGCACGTGGTAATGCACACTTGTAAGTCCAGTACTCAGGGGGCCAAGGAAGAGGATCACTGCAAATCTGAGGCCAGCCTGGGCTAGGAAGACCGACTCACAGGAGCATGGCCAGGCATGGTGGCACACGCTTTTGATTCCAGCATCCAGGATGCAGAGGTCAGCCCGTATTTATGAGGGCAAGGCCAACTTGATCTACATAGTGAGTTACAGGTCAGCAGCGGGGTGTTAATAGTGAGACTCTGTCTCTCACACACATGCAATTCATTAAACTCCAAGAGGATAGAAGCCCAAATCCTAAGCTGTGTCACATCTTTACACAAGGTTTTGTATTCTTTTTCTTCCTTCCTTTTTTCCTTTCTCTTTCTTTCTTTCTTTCTTTCTTTCTTTCTTTCTTTCTTTCTTTCTTTTCTTTCTTTCTTTCTTTCTTTCTTTCTTTCTCTTCTTTTTAAGAACAAGAACTCTAGTCTTTTAGTTTTGAGTATTTTCCATGCAGTTTTTCTGTCTTTTTAAAAAGATTAATTTTTTACATACCAATCGCAGTTCTCCCTCCCTCCTCTCTTCCCACTCCCTCCTTCCCCTCCATCCACTCCTCAGAGAGGTTAAGGCCTCCCCTGAGAAGTCAGCTAAGTCTGTCTCATCATCTCCTTGAGGCAGGACCAAGCCTCCCCCACCTCAACCCATGCCTAGGCTGAGCAAGGTATCTCTCCATAGAGAATGGGTCCACAGTCAGTTCATGCATTAGAGTTAGATCCTGGTACCACCGCCAAGTGGCCCCATACAGTACCCAAGCCACACCATTGTCACCTGTATTCAGAGAGTCTAGTTCGGTCCTATGCAGGTTCCCCAGTTGTCAGTCTGGTGTTAGTGATCTCCCACTAGTCTTGGTCAGCTGATTCTAAGGATTTCTCCAGCATGGTCTTGACCCCTTTGTTCATATAATATTTATTTTCTAAACCACCATTTTTACTCAGTTTCTTTCTTCTTCCCTTTTCCCCACAGAGATAAAAGGTGACCTTGCTAGAAATGATCATTTTCCGTTTTCCTTACTTTTTCAATGTTTATGCTAGGAATGAATTCTCTTAAAAGGATAGTGAATTTAGAGTATTCTGCATGGCTAAGTATATATACAGAGATAGCAAGTGAGCTATATGATTCCAATGTAAGTACATATACAGAGATCATATATGATTCCAATGTTTGATTAGAACCCCTAGACCTAGGTAGGATGCCTACTTGTAATTTAAAATGGGAACACTTTGAAAGAAGCTCCTGTTTACATGATATTCCTGAATTTATGGGTCATTAGCAGACGACTGTAATAACACTAGCACAAACAAATTTCATTACCAAACGAATAGCTTTGAAACATGATTTACATGAGAATAACAGAATGTCCTTCATTACAGTACTCCGTGTGTTTCAGTATCTAATGAAGTTAGCTTTTCAAAGACAAGGATATCGTGTTCTCCAACCAGCATGGTCATTTGCAATCCACACTTGTTTCCCTGACTTCCTGCTCTTTCTTTTTCTCTTTTTTTCTCTTTCTTTCTTTCTGAGAACTTGGTTGCATTTTGCCATTATCTACAGCTTAATTCCTTAGTATCAACTATCTAACTTCAACAAATGGAAGTTTTTCAAGAGCAGGCATTTTGCTAATTTCTGGCTAATAGTGCCTAGTACTCCTAAGCGTTAAAGTGTTAGCAGAAGTTGCA